GCGCACTTTACAAAAAAAAACGAGCTGGCTTACCGTTCCCGTGAGCAGGATACAGCACGGCGCTCATGTCTTTAGATGTCATTTGAACGCTGATCTCAAACCTACCTTCCAATTCTGCTGAACGAATCTCTGGATGGAGTTATAAAGCAAAACAGCGCAACAGTAGTGGTCGGCACTCACAGCTAAGACGTCCTTCCTCATCTAGCATCAATCGCCTATTTAGCCGAATTCCTGAAAAACGCAAAACTGAAGCCGATCCTACGGTCACTTATCGTGTTCACAGTCCCGACCACTACCGTTGCGCTGTTTTGCTTCATAACTCCATTCAGAGAATCGTTTAGCAGATTTGGAAGGTAGATTTGAGATCAGCGTTCGAAAGGCACATCTAGCGGTATACATGGCCATGGCGACCTGGGAGCCTTTCCTTGTAAGTTCAGAAGAACAGTCTTGCCCAAATTAATCAAACCTCCTAACCCTTCAAAGTCATAGTGTCGCGAAACACGAAGATCCGCTCCAACAGAACCCTGGGCGCGCCGGTGCCTGCGAGCATCTGCCGATATGACCCAGCCTGATCTCTCCGTGATCGTGCGGCAACGCACGGGCCGTTCGCAACGGCACCATCACGGCCTGGCCTGGTGTTCCCTTCGTCATCGGTTCTTCCCCTCGTCGTATTCTTCGGCAGACTCGTAGGGCTCTAGCCCTTAGAACTACATTCGAGATTCTGTATTCCAACTATCGTGGTCGAGCGGCGGGTCGATGGAAGCGACCCGACGTGAGTTAATTTTGTACTAACCTTTTATATTTCATTCATGATTTCGGTTGAGTAGTTCAGTAGAATGAATTTGAAGTTAAGTCATAAAACTTACTAGTTCTGTTGTGTTTGCGTCGTGTAGCAATATGGGTGTAAGCCCGACACATGTATTTGTTGGTAATTAAACTAGTGTTGCTTAGGTTAATCGGTAGGACTCAAAGTAGGATGTGGTAAGGCTTGTTGTTAGTCCACTTGCGCCCCAGTAGGTGTC